AAGAATTTAAAATTAAAATTAAAACGGAACAGTAGAGAAAATCAGATCAGAATGACAAAATAAACTAAGCATCCACTGGAAGGAATCCTAATATCTGCAGACGGATCCGTTTCGGCCTTTCAGGCCTCTTCAGTGCAGTTTCTCTACTGTTCCGTTTTAATTATATATGTATGTGTGTGTGTATATATATATATATATTAGGAAAATAATTAGGAAATATGATGCGTACCTGAAGGACATCATGAAGGTCTTTATTGCTAATTGCTGGGAAGTTTATTTCATGACTGGGGTCGATAATAGCATGTAGCTTCATCAAAGCATTTGTGATGTGTTGGAAGGGAGTCTTGCCATATACCATGTAGTACAGAATGCAGCCTAATGACCAAACATCACTTTGGAAATTTATCTACAAACAAAAAATAAATAAATAACAATTCATAAAATTATACACTATTTTGGGTTTTTTTTAAATATTTGTTTATAAATTCATAATTCATTTATTTCAAAATATTATATAAAAATATGTGTCTCCTTCTAATTAAAAGCTCCCCCACCCCTAATTAAAGACCACTTTTCTGTGGTCCCATTTTAACAAATGTCTTTTACAAATGTCTTTTGTTGTTTAGGCTACCAAACAATAATCTTCCATACAGTATAGCTAGGTTCATATGGGATTATAGCCAGATGAAGTAGCTGATCTACTTGCCAAGTTAATTGGATTAAATCCACTAATCGCGTTCGACATTAAGGTTAGAGCGAGATATTTTGACTACCAGAAATTCGGAAAACACATCATTAGACAGGAAGTACAATCGCACGGTGGGTAATTACTGTTGATTTTCGCGCGACTATTTTATGCTAGATCGAGAATATAGGCGTAAGTTAGGCCTAGGTCTCGGCGGTTGATTAGACTGGCCGAGGAGTCCAGCTGGAGGGTTTACACTGGGTTTTCCCCCAAGTATTTCGTTTAGCACGTGGTAGGCCTAGTGTGGGCATGCCAATTTCGGGTCATCCCTTATTACATTGGCCGACCCCTTGCCGGTCCCACGAATAAAAACGTCTCTCACAGCCTTGTGGTCTGCTCTTAGATTTTTCAACTTTGTCACAACAATTGCGGATGTTATGCTATTGTGACCTACTGTATAAGTCCCGCATTCTCTCTTCTATCCTTTCGTGGACCAGGACACCAGCCTTCTGACGGTACAATTTATCTTCAACTTTTTCGGCGATTTCTGGCTCCCTCTAGATATCTATTAAATCACATTCCTGCGCATACGTCCAGAGATGGCGTTTCTTTACTGACTTTTCGGCCATCATTTGCAAAATAAGACTTGTTGAAATTAAAGTGAGTACACAGATCAGGGAGACTGCGTCAATTATGAATGGTGTTTATGATAGCATGGAAGCATGGAAGGTCACTTTGCTTCAATTTGATTGGTGTATTCGTGACTTGTGGCCACCCGCTATTTAATTGTTTACTGGCTTTAGGCTGGATTAAGAAGTCAGTCGACATAAATTTACTCGACGGGCTTAGTCGAGTTGTGGCCTTCATCTCGCCATACTTGAGCGTCATACTCAAACTTATGGCGAGATCTTCTAGCTCATCCACTAAAATTATCTCGCCATAGTTGGATATGAACGGGGCTTATGTGGCAAAGACAAGCCAAACCAGTCGCAAATCGTGTTTCAGAGATAATGACCAATGCTGCAATGTCAAAATTTTTGAAATCTTTTTTATTGAACTAAACTAACCTTTATAATATATAAATCGTAAACTTTGAACGATGCCACGTATGAATAACTCTAAAATTTAAACACATTTTGTAATAAGAATACACCAATTTAGCTACTGGCTGCAATTGTTTTTTTCTTTTGATGGCAATAAAGATACCAAGAATAACAAACAATTTTTGAAGCGTTTTCTTTTTTAAAGAAATTAAATGTTCAATTCTTAGAAAAATTTCCTAAATTTTACAACAGACATTATCATTGAATATATCACATTCAGTTAGGTGGAGTATGGTGGATTGTAATTTGAAACTATAAGGATAGTGAATTCAACAATTCAAACAAACATAATCTACATAATTTAAAGGGGTCAAATATGTAAATATATAACTTCCAATAAGACACACACTGAAGGAATTGAAAGCTATTAACATACTTACACAGGCAAAGGAAGCATGCAAACATTGCATTTACTGCTTAGGCGAGACTTTTTTTTATAACTTTTAAAATTTTATTTTTGGCCAATTAGCGCACTTGCTGCCACAAAAAATGGAAATTTCAGAAAACATTTTTTTGTTTTGTTTTTGTTATTATGCCCTCCGCTGCCTTGAAATCCCCAAATATAAAATATGTATATTTCTTCCTAATCATATAAATTTCAAGCATTTAACCATCCCATTTTCCATTCACCAATAAAATTTTATTTCTATTTTCTCCTCCGTCTGGATGTTGTTGGCAAAACTATTTGCTAAGTAAGAAAACAAAATTTTTTTAAATTTTTATTCTGCCCTCCTCCGATGATCTTTAAAAAAAATAAGAATGCGAAACAAGGAATAAAAGAGTCTTGCCTTAGGTTAATTAAACAAACAGAAAGAATCATCTCCAAATACACTGTCTGATGGACTGTACTTGACAATTAATCAATACCATAGTGCCTTGGGTATAAACCTACCCCTACTTTACGTACCAGCCTTATCTTGGGCAAAATATTGATATGATTTTAATGAGTAGCTTAGCCGACTTCTACAAATACAGTAGAACCCCTATTAAAAGGACACCTTTGCGACTAAAAAGGGGCCCCTTAATACCCAATTAAGGGGACACTTGACTAAAAATATGAAATTGTCCCTTTAATAGGGGTTTTTGACATGTTTTCATACAATTTTATTTTTATTACCATAAAAATCAGTTAACAGCACAATCAGAACTAATTTATAGCAATAATTTGCAATGCAAATACAATTCATAATATGAAATCAGAAGAAATTAGTAATTGAAAGAACAATAGTTTTATAGTTTCCCAATTTTATTTCATGATTTAATGTTAAATGACCAATTATTTTTTAAAATATTGAGCTTTCTATTGGATGGATGCAGCACGAATATAGAATGAATTTGAATTAAGGGTGCATGTTATGGTATGGATTAGAATCCTATTTACGAGTACATGAAAAACAAAGAAAAAGAAATCCCAGTGGTTAAGGGTCAACATTGACAAGATCAGCTCAAAATGTGTCAAAATATAAAGTTGAATGAATTTTACTTATTTTGAGACTGCTGTTAGTTGTTGTGATACAATGATAATATTGATACAAAAAATTAAGTGTCCCCTTTAATAGGGGCCATGGTTATTTGACCACTTGGCACATATTCAGAAAGTGTCCCTGTCCCCTTAATAAAGGATATATGCCCATCGTTTCACGAGTGTTCTACTGTATATTAATTATATTTGCCTTGAATTAGGCATGCAGTGATGAAAACTGCCTTTTGATTGAAAAGAGGATTCCTTGGGTTTCAGCCCACCCCCCCCCCTCTCCACCTCCCACAAAAAACCCAAAAAACCAGCCCAATTTTGTGTTCAAGAGGTGGTGGGCTTATACCAGAGGAGCTACGGTAATTATAATTAAAGTAAAATGAACGTTTTACTGTAATTACATAATAAAGCTCAGCACACACTGTGCCGTAGGACACATAGACACTTGATTAAGGCACTGTATCTTAATTCTCTCTCTACAATATCCATCATCATCATCACATCAAACTACTGTACCACCCAGCATGACTTACCAACTGCCACCATTACCATTTAACTGCCGTCGTTATTGTCATCATCATCATCATCATTACACGTTTCATATTTTACAAGGAAATATATGATACTCCATGTACATTCAATCAAAAACCATATTTAGTACATGCTTTCCAATGAGATATTTACCTTTAATCTTGGTTTACTTCGACCAGATGAATCCATTGCGGGAGAGGGCGATGTTTCCCGAATGGCCTCAGGGGACATGTAATTAAAGGTGCCAATCTGTTGATCCTTAAAAATGCTGGTCTGGTCCACCTGTATGGCATTTGCAATCCCAAAGTCAATCAGCTTCAGTGTACCTTCCACAAATAGGAAATTTGCTGGCTTCAGATCACTGTGTATAATACCTGTAAGGGAATACACTTTTAATGTCAAATATCTGCAGGCAATTTCTGGCATTTTGTACCCTTTTACGATAGGAAAAAGTAACATAGGCCTACCTCATTATTATTTTATGCTATATAATATGCGTAATACTAGGTGACTGCAATTAAACCTTTTATTGCTTCAAAAACCATCACGGGCCAATATCTACTAAAAACAAGTTCAGAAAATTCACGCAAAGATGAACACATTGAGATATATAAAAAATTGGAAGAACCACAAAAAAAAAATTAAAGGTCAAGGAGTTGTTTGACAGTGGAGGAGCAAATCTGACATGGATTAAAACAAATGGAATATGCGAGTTTCAGAGAGTATGGAAGGAAAGATCATGGATGGAAAGATAAAGCAAAACAAGAAGTTTGACACGCGATAGGTAGGAATAGAGTAGCAAAGGGATGTAGAACAATGGCGGCAGGATAGAAGTGAAGGGTTCAGGGGACGAGTTACCATTTGGACAATTTCCCAAAGTTGCAGAGAAGAAAGTACTTGATTCTATTTTCAAATAAAGGGATATTGAAGAGTGAAGGATAGGTGGAATATGCAATATTACTGGGTAAGAAGTGGGTACTCAAGCCATCTGCATGTTATGACATGATGACCTGTGTCAAAATTTATTTACTCACCTACATAGAGGAGAATGAATACAATAACATGTTTAAAACACTCTCCAAAATCATTTCTAAAATATCAGATTAATGAGTTCAGTTACAAACCTTCTTGATGAATAACATGGACAGCTTCCAGCATCTCGTGCCAGTAGAATCTGATCTTGTCCTCCCTGATATTTTTATTTCGGCGTAAGAATGTTGACAAGTCAATACTACCACATTCCATCACCATCACAATAAGTGAATCTGTTATTTGACTATAAAAAAAAATAAACAAACGTTAAAATGTACAAATGTTGGAACTTACATCACATAAGTTTACATACATTAGAAAATCATACCTAATATGTTTTCTAATTTTTTGCTAATAAAATATTATATTAAATGCTTGCGATACACCACGTAGACAGTTCTGAAAAGAACATTTGTTTTGTTGAAAATGTCTTGACATTTCGAATGCAAAAAGTCATTTAATTACAAAATATACTACAGTACTTACAAGTCATACAGTTTGATAATCTTTTCTGTTTTCTTCTGAAGTCTTGTCAGTAAAGTGATCTCATTAATATAGCCCTGTTTAGTGAGGTCATCAACTAGTTCAAGATCAACACGTTTGATGGCCAAAACATTCTTCACGTCAGTACTGTATACTTGATATACCTATCGGCAAAATGGATTATCCCATCAATAAATCAAATTAGTCGCAATAGTGATGAAGGCATCACAGCCATATAGGGCCTAAGGGGCCTGGATTGGAGTGGCCTCTGGAAATCGCGATGTGGCATCGTGATTCACATGAACGCCTGAATGCACATAATAAGTATGTATTGTAGTAGTGCCTTTTTGTTTCAAACAATTTAGAATTTATAGCATAAAATAAATATAATTTATGGCATAAATATATAACATTACAATTAAATTACAAAGATCACTTGTCTCATATGACCCCAAATAAAATGTTTAAGATATCATTCATAACTATAAAAATACGAGAAAGACAAAAAACAATATATCATGTTCGCATCCATAAATATCAACCTTAATTTAACCTATTATTACTAAAAAATAAAAAATGAATGAATACTCGTATAACATCTATATCTGTCAGAGATCAGCATATGGCCCTTTCAACTATACAACAAATTTTCCTTCAAACAAAAGATTAACTATCTGAGCAAGTTACAAATAAAATCAATAATAATTAGACTGTAAGTCTTTGTCATTGATTTGGTAAAAAGGCCATTTGTAGTTTTATTTGCACTATGTCAAATATCAAAACTAAACAGTTATACAGCTTACACTTATTGTCCATATTTTTATAAGTTGTTAAATTTTCAAAATTTCTTATTATTTCTTGATCTTAATGATATATTTGAGACATTTAATTACTCTAAACACAGTTAACAAATTCATTTATGTCCTGACCTTTGGCATCACCAATATATCATTGCATGTGTAAAACTACAAGTCAGCTTTTTTATTCTGGATCTAGAATTTTAAGGAAAAACATAAGCATTTCCATTCTACAGAAGTAGAAGGAAAAAATATATAATATACTGTACTTGCCTTCGATGAGCCTCCTTTGCCTACAAGTTTCAGTATTATGTATTGCTTATCATTCACATAAATCATGTTTTTACTCTGATTCGCCTAAAACACACAAATTGTATACAATTTAGAAAAGAAAACTTGCGAATAAAATGAAATGAAGTATTGATAGCAAGCAAGGACAATCTAATTGTACCCGTTTCAAGTGTCATAGATTCACATTATTTCTGCAAGTCATATATTATTAAGTTGATCAAAGTGTGAGAAGAACAACTTTGCTATTAAAACAATTGGCTCATTTGGTTGCCAAATGTGAAATTATCAGGCACAGGAGAGTAACAAATAACACAGATACATAAAATTGAGGATACAATTCAACAGAAAATATGGGAGTAGAAGGTTATACAAATGACCAGCTTCATTTCTTGTGAAGGTACTCCGTTTCCTAAATAGCTTTCACAAAAAAATTAATTATACAATGCTGTATATCAAAACTATACTAAAGCTCTTAAATTGATTAGGAAATCTTTAATTAGTTGTTTTTTTTTAATGGAGAGGAAATTACTTTTTAATTCTAACTGTTAATTAAAAGCTAAGAATATACATAGATATACAGAAAGATAGAATTTTATTGTTTACATTATATCGGCTCAACACATCACAACATTTTACTTTTTAAAATATAATTTTTTGTAAACATAAATTATAGTGCTATTTTAAGTTGACTTACTTGCATTGGAGGTTGAGTGATTTGTGGTTGAGGGGTGCTTTGTACTACAGGAGCAGGAACAACAGCAGGGGCTGGGACTGGAGCTGCAATAACTACTGGATGAGGGGAAATAACTGGTGCTGGGGTAATGAATGGGGCAGGAGCAAGAGCAGGGGCAACAATAGTTGAGGTTATAGATGAAACTAGGGGTGGACTGATAACTAAAGCAGCGTGGGTAGAAGGAGGAGCAGGGTTCGAGTCTGGAGTCGTAGCCAGAGCTACAGTGCTACTTTTGGCTTTCCTAGCATCAGAATGATATGGCAGTGATCCGATACCTGGGGGACTAATGTTAGAAACTGTTTCAGAAGGCTTTTGCAACTCGCTTTTCGTCCATGAATGTCCTAGTGAAACCTCTGGTACTTGACTGGGAAGAAAAAAAAAAAGAAAGCTTAATATTTTCACGCTATCCTAGAACTAGTCATATACTGTCAGAATTAGTGTAGGTCAAAGTCTGTCGAACTTTAATAACTGCAAACATTTGATCAGACTTGCCGGTATGTCTATTTTTGACATCTGACCACACATATATAGTGACTTTCCATGACAACTATTAGAGCTGTGTGTCATTATTACAGATGAACTTTTAATGTGGGTCACTATCAGAGCTTTGGTCACTTAAAGAGTACTGGGTTTTTACTGGTAGTTTTACTATTATGTGAGTGAATACCTAGTTAAAACATTCAGGGTTGTAGCTGTAGAAAACTAAAGGTGGGTGACAGACATTTTAAGGGTGGGTGGGTGATAACATTTGGTATAATTTTTATAAGAGTGATTTTAAGGATAGAAAAATGGGCTAATAAGGGTGGATGGAAGGCCATTAAATTAGCTTTAGACTGGGTTGAAAACTTCAATGCTGGGTGGCCCCACCTATCTCTACCTACCATAACTACATCCCTGAAAATATGTATTGCAACAAATTCTAATTCTTAAACTGTATTTGCTTACTTACTGATTATCAGCCACATCCTTGTTAGAGCTTGGAAATAATTTACAAGTAGCTGTCCTTTTCCATGTCCGGACAATTACCCCCTGGGAAATTCCCCCCCGGGAAAATTATCCTCCGGAAAACCACCCAGATGGACAATTACCCCCCCAGTATATTAC